CACTTCAAACAAACTCACGAAGTGGTTACCAGATCTAGAGATGGGGTATCAATAATCATACTAACATCCATAGAAAATAATTTCAAACCCAACCTCTCAGCACACTCAAGCGAAACAAAAGAATTCGTTGCAAAGACTTTCCCTTCATATTGTGTTTTCTTCGTTTTCTTACAATTGGTATTGATGTGACCATATTCTCCGTAATTATAACAAGTCAGTCCAACACTTTTGCAATGTGCAATACGGTGAGCTGTCTTTCCACATTTGAAGCACCTTAGAACATTATTCCTGCATTTATTAGCACAGTGCCCAAATTTCAACACATGAAGCACTTGACGGAAACGGAAGTCTATCCCCTACTTGGATTTTTCTCATCTGGAGCTTTATGCTTCCATCAATCAGTCGGAGCACTATACGACTTCCATGGATAATGATTCTTTCCCTTCCTCTCACTAATGCTATTATAGTGAGAAGAACGAGCTATAATGTCCTCATCATAAATCCTACGCTAATTCACCAACGTAGACGTTTATTCACCAGCAAAGGAAACTTGCGAATCTCCTCATAAACGACGCCCTGCTTAATCTCAAGACATATCCCATTCTAAAACTTGATGAATTTCGACCCCTCCATCGCAACACCATTGTATTGAGGACAAAACTTTATTAGTTCTTCAAACTTGGCAGCATGTTCTGCAACTGTCATGTTCACTCGGAAAATATTATTGATTTCTCTGAGCCACACTTGGGCAACCTCCGGATCATACTTATCCTTGAACGTCGACGCGTTATTCCTCTGAAAATTTTCCAAACCACAAAACTCGTCACTAGCCTGATTCTGTCAACCCTGCAGTGCTAAGCCACTAACTCCAAAGCATCACCAATATTGTGATTGTTTCTTCCATCCATTATGCACACCATCAATTAGACATTAGAAGAAACAATGCATCAATAATGTACATACACATGTCACATACTAGGGAATAAACAACATTACAAAACCTGGACGGCTGGACGAACCTGCTCTGATACCACTATGTAACATCCTAAACCCCAAAACACAAAAATTTTAAAAATTGAACAGTAACACAAATAAGGTGTCACTCAAATGCAACAAAAACCTACTCTGTAACATGAGTTATTTAAAACATGCATGAAATTAAACACTTGTCATCAGATTCCCGCCTTTACATATGCTCATCACATCGGAATAATAAATTTAAATAACTCAACAAAACAAGTAAGCCTCGTAACATAAAGCATGGTTTATGGAAAAATGCCTTTGTTATCCACAACATCACAAGCAATAAAATAAATCATTCACCCGCCCAATATTACAGATCAGAGCAACGAATTCAAAATAACACATAACACAGAAAGGAAAGAAGAACAACCTTAATGTCATCCTTTAGCTTCTAAACAGATACTCATTTACCTACTCGTCTGTATCCCAAGAAGGAGCATATAACCAAAAAAACGACAAAGGGGTGTGAATACGCTCATAATATAACATAATGCAAAAGTATGTAAGGGTAGCCTAAGCAAACAACAACAATTATTCAACACAAATCAATCGCATACATCACCAAGGCATTCTCAATCAACAATATCAACATGATTGTTCCATACACATGCAAACAATGAATGTAAATGTATTCAACACCACGACTCAACAATGCATGCGACACCATTATGGACAACACAAGTCCATCTTGCTCCTGAATCCCTACCATATGACCAGAGCACACTAAAATCGCTACTATCACCATAAGTAATGCTTCGCCGATTCTCATTTAGAACCGGCTACTCGCTTTTGAATCCCCGCCATAGAACCAGAGTACACCAAAATTGGACCGAAGTCCGTAAACCATGATGCATGATTCACTATAACATGCAATATCACAAGATGATCACCATACAAAACAATCACCATATAATCACCATAACAAACAACGACATTATTATCCATATAAAGCAAGTGGATTAAATCCATAACAACATAATCAACAACATCATTTACTTCCAAACAATAGCAAACAATACCCTATTCACAACAACATAACAAAAATCAGAACGACAAGTCAATTCCATGCCACTGAGCAAATGACACTAATTCTGGCAACGTGACAAGTTATCTGTCACCATCCATGTCATCTCACACGTCGTCGATATGACTACCGTTCCAACCAACTACGCATGGGGACCATGTTGGTCTACTTTTCAGGCAGCTAGCGCCTGTCAGCGTCTCTAAAGCGATGACAACCAATGTGTCATTAGGGTGACACCCGTCATCCTGAACCAGAAGGCAGAAACTGTGTTTTGAAGTCCAATTCAGAACTCCGATTCCACTTTCCTTGACCCCAAATCGCACAACAACGTCAAGGATAATAACATTTATCATCGATACAATATTTATTATGCAATTTCATTAATTACTCATGGATTTTGCATACTTTTTTCATCAAAATCATCACCCACATATGAACACCCATACAACAAACATTATGGACACAAACATACAAATTCCACAGTAAAACAATGCATGAAAATCAATTAGTACATCATATCTTTTATGCTATTTTAGAATTTCATTCAAGTTAATCAATCATTCAACATGAGGGAAAAAGGTAAGAAAAACCTAACGAATTTAACGATTTTCCTCTACCCAATCATGCAATCTACACCAATATTATGAGTAATTCTCTCTCACTCCCTTACCTTAAATTTTCCAACAAAACTCCTTATAACTCCTCAAATGGATGTTCTCCGTATGCCCTAGCCTTTCTCTCTCACTCTCTATTATTTTTTATTTTCTTATTTTCCATCAAAATCTCCTTTTCGAATTTATTTTAATAAATTAAATAAAATGACTATATTCTAATATTAATTAAAATACCAATATTCTAGTTATTTTCTAATCATTACTAAACATCTTTTCTCACCACACCCTATCAATACCATTACACCCCTCATAACCACATAATTCATTTTAATTACAACACCAAATAATCAATTAAAAAATTTAAATAATTCAATCAATCGAATTTGGGGTGTTAGTATAAACGTTTAAGATTAAAACAATATTATTCTAACTTTTCATTATCTAGACAATATTATTCTAACTTTTCATTATCTAATGGTCTGATTTTCTCAATGCTAAAAAAAAATTCAAACATATCATTATACAATTTAAATTCTTTAAACTTATTTTGAAATGAAGTAATTGTTTTATCTACTATATATATCAAAAAATCAATTTTAAATGATTCCTTATGAGATTTAACAAATTATTGATATTCTCGTCAAATTGTTTTTTTTTATACAAATGGTTTGTTTTTCACGAAAATTGGTTTCTATATCCATTTCAAAAGCAATTTCTTTAACAGAAATGAGAGAAGTTTCAAAACCACATTTTCTATAGTTTTTCAAAAAAATATAATTAGACATTTCAATTGTTCTATAGCAACATCAATATGCATATCCTTAGATTGAAAGTTTTTACTAACTGAATTTACTGCAAACAATATCTCGTACCAAATAGGCCTAGCAAAAATTCAAAATTTTCAAGCTCGTAAGTTGATAAATATTCAATTTCACTATTTATTTTAAGTTTGTCATTAACTTCGTCTAATTTCAATAAATCATCTCTTATTTGTGAAGTTTTAAATCTCAAAATTTCTACACTTTCAATACAACTTTCCTAATGCATTTTGACATAAATTTAAGAGTTCAGTTAGGGATATAATCTTGTATAATTTTCTATATTTTAGTAGAAAAAGAAAAAATTGAGTAGATTTGTTGTAGGACTAAAAATAAAGATGTGGCTTTAGAACAACCATTAGTCATGTCACAAAACACTAAATCCAAACTATGATAATCACATGAAGTCGTGAAGTATAAAATGATCTAGAATTAATGTTTAAAAATATTTTTTTACACACCTTGACATTTTACTTTCATATTAGACTCATTATCACAACCTTGCGCTATAATCTCACTAATATAAAGTTCAATAGTATTCATTTTTTTTATAATAGTATAAAGAGTCATTTTCTAAATGTATCATTTACCTTTAAAAATATTTAAAAGATAGTATGATATTTGTATAAAGGTTAAAGAAATATATGCAGAGCGTACCATAATAGATATTTTCTCTAGATGACTGACATCGAAAATACAATTAAGTATAATTAAAGAATAAAAATAAATTTTAGTTAAAATAATAAAGATAAAAATAAAAAAATAATAATAACTTAAAAATATAAGTTTGAAAATAATTTAAATATAATTAAAAAAGTTAATTCTCGGTAAAAACAACTAGTTTTTACATGTTTAACTACTCTCGAGTAAAATTAATTATGTTTTTCAAAATTAATTATATTCAAATGTAAAAATTTTAGTTTTTAAACTTAAAAATAATTTATATACTCAAATATAAATTATTTATCTTCTATTTTCTTTTAATCAATATCAATTTTAGAAAAATTTCCTTTAAAATAATTTGTTTTATCACATAACCAAATATTCAATTTAATTAGATTTTATTTATAAAAAAAATACTTAATTTTTTTTTTTTAAATTTAATAATCAACGTATCTGATTGATTATACCATCTAAATACATAGATTATTCAATATTTAGTAGTATATCCTGTGAAGAGTGTCTTGGTTTCTGAACGGTGAGAGAGAGCCACCACCTTAGAGTCAACGTGGATAAATCTATCACCACTGATACATCTACATCATAATAATCACTAGCCCCACCTCTCTCTATTTAATACTCCTATACTCTTCCCTATATATAATAAAGTACCACTCTTAGTGTTTTCCATCTTTTATTACTTATTAAACCTTTCAGCCACCACTCGGCACAAAATTGCAGAGATCTTTATACCATCCAATTTCACTCATTCAACCATCTACTTTATTCTATTGCATTATCTATATTATAATATATTTTTATGAAATATATAGTGCCAAAATTATATTTATATCCTTAGACATGGGAAGAGCACCTTGTTGTGAGAAAGTAGGTTTGAAGAGAGGAAGATGGACATCAGAGGAAGATGAAATTTTGACCAAATATATTAAAGCCAATGGAGAAGGTTCTTGGAGATCATTACCCAAAAATGCAGGTTTATATTTTTTTCTAATTAAAATACTACTATTAATATTATGATTTTTTTATATATTATTGACATTTTATTTTTGGGTTTTGAAGGGTTGCTTAGATGTGGAAAAAGCTGTAGATTAAGATGGATAAACTATTTGAGAGATGATCTCAAAAGGGGAAATATATCTGCTGAGGAGGAAACTCTCATTGTCAAGTTGCATGCTTCTTTTGGCAACAGGTAATTAATTACTAGCATCAACATTATTTTACAATTTCATCATCAAAGAATTATGCTATAGATTTCATATGTTTGCAATGTGTTTTCATCTCATTATAATAAAAGAATGATCTCATTTTTTTGTTAACAAAAATATGTAAATTTCATCATGTGTTATACTTCTCTTTTTTCTTCAATACAACACAGTTAAACAATTTTAATATTGCAACTTAGTTTATGTTTTTATGTATTTAATTTCTATTTCACTCCTAATTCTTTCAACATTGCCAACATATTTGCAAATTTTATTTTTCTATATTCTTTTAAATATTTAATCAAAATTTTTATTTATTAATCATATAGCAGTCAATAGCAATAGTTTTTTTGCTGTAATTTTTAGAAATTTTATTAACAACACGGAGAACAATCTCAAAACAAATAAACTACAGACATTAAAACCTCAAAACTCCTAATAGTAAAGTAAAATACTTAAGAACGATAATAATTTATCTGTGTTATAAAAATATTTTTTAATTAAAAGTTATTACTAATTTATAAGTTTTAAATCTTATTAGCTCACTTATTACATATCAGAGCTACTCCCCACCTACAAGAATATAATTAATACTTCTATTGAAATTTTAAAATGAAAATAAATATAATGTGCCGTATATTTAAATTTTCTTGAATTATTTTTTATCAATAATATCTCTTATAATTTTTTTTTATATAATATGAAATAAATATTTTATAAAAGTATCAATTAATTAACTCTGATAAACGACGTGACATGGAGATATTGAACAGCTCAATATTTTTATTTAATATTTAATAAAGATTGATGAGACAATGCATGGATCTCGTGTTTTGAATATAATATACTTTTGTCATAGTTCAGCATCTTGAATAAGTTTAAAATATTAATGTTGTCATGTCAAGTAATGGTCCTTTTGCCACTTCACCACCAAAAAAATAAAGAGAAACAAGCTCTTTTGCCGGTAGATTAGTTTCATAATAATCGGAAAATTTTTATTTAACATTGAAACTTTTTTCATCAATATTAAAAATGATAAGGGTATTTTGGTAAATTCAGGTGGTCTTTGATTGCAAGCCATTTGCCTGGAAGAACAGACAACGAAATTAAAAACTACTGGAACTCTCATTTGAGTAGAAAAGTTTACACTTTCCGAGGAACAACAACAACAAATTACGATAATAGGAATAAAGAAAATCCTTCACAAGGAATCTTAGTTAATACACCTCCCAAACGAAAAGGTGGTAGAATTAGTAGAAAGGCTATGAAGAAAAATAAAGACTATACTCAAAGAGTTATCGAAAGCCCAAATGGGCTTTCTTCTGTTAACGAAGATAGCCCAAATGGGCTTAAGTTGCCATGCATTGTCGATGAAAATATTAAAACTGATCGTGACCGCACGTTGGGGCAAGATCAAAATCCAAATCCGAAGGCTATTAATGACGATCAGACAGTGGATTTTAATGATATTAATAGAGACACATGGGAGGTGGACAAAGAAAGAGAAAGTAATGATGAAATGGTTGCAACAATTGAAAGAGTTGGGGACAAAGGTACAAGTACTAAGAAGTTGGGAACACATGACACTGAGAATAATGGTGTGACAAGTAATGATTTGGATTGGGATAGTGTTGTGCCATTGTTGAATATCAAAGTCAGCAAAGGACAATCTTTGTCATGGGAGTTAAGTGAAAACATGTTAACTTGGTTGTGGGATGATGATGAATGGGACAAGGATTTTCATAAGTACACAGAGATTGATCCTGATCAGCAACAAAATGCTATATTTTCTTGGTTTTAAGGTTGAAGCTAAGTTAATTTTAGAACTTAAATTTTGGGTGTTTAGATCATGGAATCTTTTTGGGATGTAAAGTATAACCATATAAACATAGTACCTTTTTATTTTAAACAAAATAGTATTAAGAGTTTTTGTAAGTCACTCCTCCAGGTGCATGTAGTTATTAGTAGAGTACTTGTTTGTTTACAATTTTTCATTTGAAATAAGTCACCTCTACGTTTAATGCCAAGTACGGAGAAACATCACAGGTGGAATAATGCTATATATCATTTCCTAGGATTTTATGTTAGATTAATTAAATGATTTTATGTTAGATTAATTATTAATTAATCTAATATGGGTTAATATAATTAATTATTAACTAATTATAATATGGTTAATTATTATTAAGTTGTAATTATTGATGAATTATTTAATTGGATTTTGTGTCTAAATAGACAGTGATGAATTGAACCATTCAGTTAAATTCAATTAGAGATCCGTGTCCTCAGTCGTTTAATTATTTAAGTGTCGTCTCATCAACTAATATATTTTGAAATCATAGACAGTAATGAGGATAATAATCTTTTCATTTTCACTCTTCTTATGTTCGTCTCTCAAATCCTACCCGATATACCATCGTTATTTTTGTCTATTCAATTCAACTAGTAGGATATTCGTGCATTCACACGGGTACCGCTGTGTTACACGCATTTATTTCAAAAATATAATTAAAAAAAATAGAAAGACAATTATTTAACGACGAAAGTTTATTATTTTTAAAAGAAAAATATATTTTTATTTATATTTGTAGCATAAATATAATTATTTTATATATATATATATATATATATATATATATATATATATATATATATATATATATATATATATATATATATATATATATATATATATATATATATATATATATATATATATATATATATAGATAGATATTTGGATCAACTTTATATTTTATATAAATATTAATTTTGTTTTTTTATTATTTATAAAAATATTTATGCAATTATTTAGTTTTATAAAAATCAACTAATACCATAGTATTTGTAAATATTATTTTAATTGTATAAATAAATATTAGTAACATAAATAAACACATTTTGCATGTGTTTGAATTTAGACATTATTTTAAATATATTTACTTTTATTTTTTTAATTATACAACAAAAATGTAATAACTCGTGCGCTCGCACGGATTCTAGTCGGGATACTCGTGCGTTCGCACGAATTTTAGTTTGAATACATGTGCGTTCGCACGAATTCTAGTTTGGATACTCGTGCGTTCGCACGGGTATGGATGTGTAACGCGCATTTATTTTTAAAATATAATAAGAATGAAAAAAAGAAAAATAATTTTTTTTTACCAAAGTAGTTTATTATTTTTAAAAGAAATATATATTTTAAAGTGTTTAATTAAAATATTCAAAATTGATAATATAATATATAAAAAATTAATTATAAATATTTTTATGACTAATTAATTAAATTTAAAAATATTCAAAATTTCTAAAATAATATAAATTAATTAAAATATTTTTTAAGTGCCTTTAAATAGTTTGTTTTCTTAGGTTTTATATATCCAATTAGTCCATATTACATTCTATTTTTTCTTTTGCTTGGCATTTTAAAACTAATAGCTTGGCATTTTAAAACTAATAGCTGCTATCTCACTTTTCAGACCATTTTTTATTTTATAAAAATGATATAGAATTATAGCTTCTATCTCACTTTTCAGACTATATACTTTAAAATAATCGAAGATTTAAAAATTATTCCTAATTCAGTTCTACACCTTTAAGTTATACACTCCAATAAAACAAATATGAAGTAGAAGTTCAAATCTAGATCCTTAATCAACTTCATTATAAATTACATTACCACTTCACCTCTTCAAACGGTTGATTACGGCTTTTTAAAAACAATGCAAGACATATACAATGCTGTCATATTCATAAGCACTTGTCAAATTAATAGCCATGTTATGTGACATTAACAATTTGTACATGCTTTAATCATTACGCACATCAAACACATGATCACAAGTACAAAATCCAAAAACTCATAATAATAATAATAATAATAATAATAATAATAATAATAATAATAATAATAATAATAATAATAATAATAATAATAATAAAAAAGGGGTCTAGATTAAACACAGGCACAATGGTATTTAAACATTTATATATTATTTGATTGTCAACTATGCATATTATAAACTGGTTTGACATGCATATTATCTAGTTAAAAGTAAAAGATACATGATGGTCACAATTACACCTATAAGAGGCCACTAAATTATACATGCCACTAAAATACAATGCAATCAAAAATAGTATTACTTGTATAGTTTTACCAAAACGCATGTCATCGCCGATAATGTATAGTTTTACCAAAACGCATGTCATCGCCGATAATTTCAGCAGTTCTTTGGCAGTGCAACTCCCACAACCATTGAACACCAATCTTTTGATAGTCAGAGAGTGAATATATTGAGCACCAACCTTCTGCAATAAAATAAACTAAGTGAATCTATTGATATGAGCATAAACATAAATGAAAATAATAATACTACAACAAACTGAAATAGTGTCATTGGCACCTAATAGACTTGGACAGAGGCAGCAACTATTCCAAAAGCACATCAAACTGAAATTATGTATTGTAACAGAATTATAATACTAAGGTTCTTGCATGAGCTTTGTTTTGTTCAATTATTGGTGATAGGCTTGGACAGAGGCAGCAACTATTCCAATAGCACTTGTTTTTATGCTTCTAAAGTTGCCGAAAGTCAAATTTGTGGTTAGTGTTTTTTTAGATTGAAGAACACAGAGATGGAGAAAAGAGAGAGGAAACTTGAGTGTGTCATTGGGAATGAAGAAAAATTGGTAAAGTTGATTTGTCTGAAAGGAATATCTGCTGAAGTTTGAGAGTACTTTTTCCAATAACTAAAAAAAAACCAAACACAGTGCCATCTAGTCGGATTAGGCAATGAGATTAAAAAAAAAATGTCTAACCAAACATGTAATAGGTAGTTGCCATTTAATAAACTGACAATTTTGTTGGATTTTTATGATTAAAGACAAAACTTGTCCTTAATTTGATGATGTGGAAGATAGAGACAAAAGGTTAATTGTGTATTAACCACAACAACTTATCTTCTTATAATATTAGTGGGATACCCGTGCAAATTCACGGATACTGGATACCGGTATGATACGCACATTTGTTTCTAAATATAATAAAAATGATATTAAAAAAGTTAAAGTATTTAATCAAAAAGATATTATTTTTAAAAGATATAAAAAATTAGTGTCAATAATTCATTCCATATATAAAAATATTTGAATTAATAATATATTATATTTTATATAAATATTATTGTTGTTTTGACGTTATTTAAAAAAAAAAGATATTAAAATCAATATTATAACAATGATATTTTTTCCGTATATATAACTAAAGTAATCAACAATGAATTTGATCTTATGTATAAATATTAAGTTTGTTTAGACATTAGATATATATTTGAATCTGTATAAAAAATTTGAATCAACAATATATTTTTGTCCGTAACTAAATATTGTTTTGTTCAATGACATACACTTTTATTTATATTTTATAATTTATTTTAATTAAAAAGTCATGAATTTTTTAAGCTAAAAATATTATTTGGTGGATGTCACATTTGCATATTAAAAATAAACGTTTCATATTTTTTATTTACCCGTAATAACATTGTTTTGTATTTATTTTTCAAACTTAATTTTATTTAGTATTTTTTAATATTTATCAATGACACAAATTTGTCCCATAATTTATTTATTTATGTTTTTGTATTTTTTTCCCGTATGTAAAGTGTTTAATTAAACAATCTATTATTTTCTCATATATAAATATTATTTTTGTTTTGATAGTATTTATAAAAGTAATTGAATCGATAATTGGATCAATAGTTTTATTTTTTTCAATCTATATAATTTCCATAATATGAGTGAGCAAAATTTATTGACTAACTCCACAATTCATAATTAAAAGTTTATTTACCTTTTTAAAATTATTTTTGTTTTAGTTAGATATCTCCATTGTCATTGCCATTGGATCACCGGTATATTTTCTGTGTATAATTTTTTTCTTTTAATTTTGACATTATTCATAAATGTATTTAAATCAATTATATTTTTTTTTCTGTATATAAAAATAAAATAGAAACTAAATTAGAATCTTGTTTAAAAATAAAAAAGAGAAAGTAAATTATTAATATAGATAATTAAAATCTAAATCAAAATTAAAGTTTATAATTATAAATTATTGAAACAAAATATTTGGAATTCATTGATAACTATTTATTTTAAACTATAAGAGATTATTGATGGCATATATTATATTATAATTAAAGGTCTTTATATATTTGTATTTTTTTAGAATTACAACAAATTATGTGTTCATGATTTGTTTATTTATCTATACTAAATATTCGTTTTTGCCAATTAGTCAATAAAGAACTATTTTTAAATACTTGACTAATGAAAAGTATTTATAATCTATTTAAAATTAATTAAAAATTATTTATTTAAGATTTTTGAATACATCTTTAAAATTATAGATAGTTTTATCAATAACATCATATAAATAAACATTTCAAAAAAGAAACATAAAATTTGGTAATAAAATATTTAGAGTATCATATTTTAAAGAAAATTTTAAAGAAATTAAAAACAACATATTTATACCTATATAAAGGCAAAACATGATTTTGGTGTAGCCTTTTTCCTTTTCAAATATACCCTTTTCAATTTTTATTTTAAATCTCAACTTCTCTTTCTAACAAATGGTGGTTATGTGATTATTTATTAACTTTTACACCATTATCTATTACTACTATTTTATAAATAATAAATAAAAATAATAATACGATTTAGATTTTACACGCGTGAGTATTATAAAGAACAGATAATGACCCCGTGTTCGGATTTCCGATGAATTCAACACCTAAG